ATGCATTCAATGAACATATTTATTGAACACCTGTTATGCTCAAAGACAATGTTTTTGACATGAGAGAGAGCCATAAACAAGCAGACCAGGTCACTGCCCTCACTGAGGTACCCATCTGATGGGAGAGAGGGGAGACACAAGAAATAAATAAACAAGTCACTTATATACTTGTGAGGAGTGGGAAGTGCAATGAAGAAAATAACATTGAGAAGGGGTCAACTTCTGATTTACAAGCCAGGGAAGACCCTCTGAGAGGATGACATGAAGCTTGTCTGGGACCATGTGAAACTATGCCAGGGTAAAATTTGTTCCAGGCAGAGTAAGCAACAATAGGAGAGGTCCTGAAAGAGGAGGGACTTGATTGATGTGAGGATTGGAAAGGCCAGTGTGGTCGGACGTAGGTGAGAATGAAAGGAAAATGATAGGAGATGAGATTTAAACGTGTGGGCAGGAATAGGATTCCATGGGGTCTCACAGGTCACGACGGAAGTTTGGATTTTGATCTACCTGCCCTGACCAGCTGTTAACAAAAATCATTCTGTAAAGTAAACTAGAGTTCGAAAAAGAACTATGCGATGGTAATTTGATAACATAGGCACTCAATGATTTGTTATACAAACTCCAAACTTTGAAGCCAGCGGACACTTTGGGAGATCAAAGGGAGTGACAAAGGATTACCCACTGGCCAAAGCTCAGGCACTAGAGTTCCTTGTGCCCTGTCCTTGATGCAGTAGTTCTGAATGTCTCTGTTGTCTGTAATTTCACCTGCCTCCATTGTGGAACTGAGAAGGTTCTGACTTCAGGAGGCTGTCCCATCAGGCCTACAAATCCCAGACACTTAATAACCTCCTGAAAACAATGTTAACAATAGCAGAGAGCTATTTAAGGTCTTCTTCTCAAACATGGTTTTCTTACCCCAGGGATGGAGACTGTTTCTAGACCTAGCCAACTGCCTTCCAACATAAAGCAACTATGTGCCTTCTCATTTTAGGACTCTTACTGTCTAATGCTCTGAGAACAAATAACCAAGCTTCAGCCAAAGCAGGAAAAGCAATGTTCAAGAAGCTTCCAGAAAGTTTTTGGAGCACAATTTTCATACATTAGTGTATTACATATATGTATCATAGGATAACTGATCCTCAGGAACTAGGGGGAAATAATAATTAGGGAGCTTTGGCATTATTGTTACAGATAAATGTTAAAGGAGTTTATTCATTCTTTCAGATATTTCTTGAGCACTTACTATGTGCTAGGCACTGTGTGAGATTTTGAGAATTCAATGGAGAACAAGACAATTCCCTGCCATCAAGGTGATTGTATTTTAATAACCACATTTATTAAGTATTTCTTATATTCCAGCACTGTTACTAAGTACATTAATTCATTCAATGGCAAATCTAGATAATGAACAAATAAGTAAATATGGAATAAGAGGTAATAATCAGGGACTTGAAAAAGAAAAATAAAGAAAGCTATGGTAGACAGATTACCTGATGGCCTGAAGATGTCCATGCCCTAATTCTCAGAATCTGTGAGTATGTTATCTTACATAGCAAAGGGAACTTTGCAGATATAGCTAAGGACTATCTGGGAGGGCCCAATGTAATCACAAAGGTCCTTATAAGAAGGAGGGATGAGGGTCAGAGAGTTATAGAAGATGTAAGGATGAAAGCAGAGAGAAGATGTTGTACTCCTGGCTTTGAAAATGAAGAAGGGGCCATGAACCAAGAAATACAGGCAACCTCTAGAAGCTAGAAAAGGCAAGGATTTGAATTTTCACCCAAAGCATCCAGGGGGAGTGTAGGCTTGTTGATGCCTTAATTTTAGTCCAGTGAAACTGAGTTTGGACTTCTGACTTCCAGGAATGTAAGATGATAATACATTTGTGTCATTCTAACTCAGTAAGTTCATGGTGATTGGTTACAGCAGCAGTGAGAAAACATACACCTGGTTACAGGATGGTACCTGCTGGAGGATGCTCAGCCATGGCCTCTTAGACAAGCAATCTTCAAGCAGAAAAGTGAATGAAGTGAAGGAGAGAGCCATGTGGTTGGCTGGCTGGAAAGCATTCCAGCTAGAGGGGAACAGCAAGCAAATGTCCTGAGAACTGGTAAGAAGGTTTGTATGAGTGAGCAAGTGGCGAAGTGCTGGTAGGTGACCTTGGAGAGGTAGCTGGGGGTCAGGTTATGTAGGGACTTGTAGACTTGCTAAGCCTTTTGAGTTTATTACAAGAGTGATGTGAGGTCATGAACAGGAAGTGATATGATCTGTTACTTTTAAAAGGAGCTGTGCCACTGCTAGGTTGAAAATGGACTGGTTTGGAGGAGGTAATACGGAGGAAGAAGAAAAGCAAAGAATTGGGTTGGAAAGCTGCTGTTGCTGTCCAGTTGACCAGGTAAGAGCACGGGGGTGCAGCCTAGGATGAAAGGAGACTAAAGGAGTTATTTTGCAGATGGGATTGACAGGATTTATCAGTGGCTCGGATGTGAGGCATGAGAAAAAGAGAGGAAACAAGGATGACATCAAGGGTTTTGAGGACACGTTTTACTGAGAATCGGAACATTGTGGGGACTAGGTTTTGATGGAAAATCATGAGTTTGGTTTTTAGATATGTTACGTTTTAGATGATTATTGAATAGCCAAATAGTGATATCTGGTAGGCAGCTGGACACAGTTTCTGAAGTTAGTTGGGGCTGGTGACATCTCGAGGAGTCCTGATAGTATGTAAAACCGTGGCAGTGATGCCAATTTAGATAGAGTCTGAGGATATAACCCTGGGTGGGCACTGGAACCTAAAGCCCAGGAAGAGGCTAGCTCATCAAAGGGAAAGAGTGGAGCCCAGCCATTACTTTCATCCTTAAAAAGGGAAAAGCTGATGTTTTTGACTGTCCTGCCTGACTGAAGCTTGAAAAATGGCAACTTGCCCCTCGCAAAGGTCCTAAGAAGTAGCCCCTCGTTGGCCTATCTGCCCTGGCTCTCGGTGAGCTTTTAAAATGCCAATGAGCTCTAATTGTGTTGACTGCCTGACAGCTGTGACTACAAGCTGCTGACTCTGAAACTACGGTGCTCTGCGGAGGGCACCAGCCCTCCTCACTAGGCTGCTGCACAGGGCCACCTGAGGCTGTGTGCATCCGGGCAGCAGGTGCGCTTTGGCTCCAAGAAACAGCTCCCTGCCCTCAGATAGAGCTGAGGCTTTTCCCCACTTTGCCTGGAAGCTTAGCTATTTGTTTTCAGAGCATTAAAGAGTAAGAGCCTGTCTTGCCAATGGGTTTCAGCTCCGGGCAAGTTCGCTATGGATTCAATGTGACCAAAGAAATTGACAGCAAAACGTTCTCTGGGGTGAAAGGGTTTATTACCCGCTTGTTCTCCCAGTGGAAGGTCAAGCACTAGCATCTCTGCCCCCACCGAGAGCACTGGGCGGAGCTCTCTATATAATGCAATAATAGCTTATTGCCTAAAGGTGTGGAAGCGGTAGCCCAGCAACAGGCCAGTTACATCATCAGGTGGTTTAAGTTCAGGGAGGCATCCTGGCCATAGGAGCCCCAACTTCCCTACAGAGCCCTAGCTTTACTGGCTCACAGGCACTTTATGTCTGAAAGGGATTTGGCTAGGTCTACAGGCTCCCTGGTTTTCTGAAATCCAGTTTGAGCATGAAGGCTTGAGACACTGCTGCTACCATTAGCTCTTCTGTCTTTGCAGTGTGACCAGGGACAAGGACAGAGTGGCTGGCTGCCTATCTGCAGTCAGTGGTTAAGCGCCAGCACACTGGAACTAGAACTAGACTCACAACTTCATGAATTTAATTTCCTCTTTAACTCTCTCACCCCCAAATTTTTCTCAGTGCAATTATTTTGACCTTATAAAAGCCTGCCAGTTTACCTCCTACCCCTCTCCCCAAGAACTTTCTTCCTGTTTCACCATCACAGGTTTTCAGCTCCCTGTTAATGCACTGCTAGAATAGTGATTCTCAGCCCTGGCTGATTATTGGAATCACATGGGGAGCTTAAAACTCCTGAAGTCAGGGTCCCGTCACCAGAGATTCCAATTTAATTGTCTGTGGCGGTAGCCAGGGCATCTGGATTTAGAAAAAATACAAAAACAAAAACTCCCCAGGGAGTTAAAATGTGCAGCCATGACTGAGGCCACTGGCCTCCAGACTCTCTGCTTTTCATATTAACAATTTCAGCTAATTTTATGAATCTCGGCTACCAGCAGAAAATGAAGGACGGATGCTCCAGGGTTCTCTCCGTTTCCAGGTAACACTCCATCACAGCAGCAGCCTTGAGGAGAACAAACCCTGCTGCTTGTCAGCTCTCTCCAGGGAGTGCCAGATCCAGGCAAAGACTGACAAGAGGAGATCTCCTGGGGAATCCTCACAGTAGGACCCTCAATACTAATTACAGCAGAAGGTGCCTTTAATACTAAGTTTGTCAAAGGATAATTTGTCTTTCGCTATTTCTCAGGGCTTTTGGGAAGTGAGCTCTCTACACCAGCTGCGCAAGGACCGCTAAGTCCTGCGGGCGTGCAGGCATGGGTATAAAGCAGGAGCTCCGCTCTCCAGGAGAGCCCACGAAAAGCAGGTGGACAACAGAGGCGCATCCCCTTGCGACTCAAAGTGTGTTCAGCGCACCAGCGGCACTGGAGTCAGTTTCATCTGGGAGCTTCCGAGAAATACAGTATTTAGGGCCTCATCCCAGACCTGCAACAATAACCTGCATTTTTAACAAGATGCCCAGGGGGTGAGTACCTAAGTCCAAGTTTGAGAAGTGCAGCTTTATGCAACTGTGAGTAACGCGAAGCGCTATCCCATGAAACAGTAGTGACTAGGCGCAGGGAGTCACTCCTCTGCCTGGACGGGGTCTTTCCGCAGTGAGTGGCGGGGACTGGAGGCCGGCGGGCCCAGGTGCCGGCCCGGATCAGCGCCGCCCCGCCCGCCCTCCCCGCCTCCCTCCTCGCCTCCCTCCTGGGCCTCTGCCCTGCGCGCCGTTGCTGTGGCAGCGCCCGACGCGGCTGGAGTCCGGGCGGCGGCGGTGTCTTCCTTCTCCTAAAAGGCCTCCGCGGACCCGTGGCTTGGACACAGCCTGCAGCCACGCCATGCCGCGAGGGAGGCGAGGCAGCCGTGTGAGCGCCCTGGAGGGCGGCCGGGAGGAAGAGGCGCCCTTGGAGGCGGCTGCTGCGCCTTCCGCGCTGTGGGCGTCCCTGCCGCAGCCGGAGGCAGCGGCCGACCGGACTCTGCTGCGGGGCATCTTCGAGATCGGGAGGGGCAGCTGCGACGTGGTTCTGAGTGAGCGGGCCCTGAGGTGGAGGCCCATCCAGCCCGAGAGCCCCGCGGGTGAGTGGTCCCGGGGACGGTCCTGGCGCCTCCTCCCCGTCTACCGCCTCACACCCTCCATCCGGCGCCTGCTCTCCGCCCTCCCCAGGCTCCTCCTCTGCCCGCATGCCGAGGAACCCGCCTCCTCCTCCCTGGCTAGGGAGAGCCCGGGCCATCCCCGGGCCTCCCTCTCCCTCCTCCCGGTGCCCGGCACAGCCCCGGGCCAACGTCACACCCAGCTTCTGGGATGCAGGAACAGGAATTGAGCCCCAAATGGGCCGTGTTCTCTAAACTCGGCAAGGTCAACTTCTCTTCCCTTCTAAATCCATCAACTTCTGCCGACATACTGAAAGTATGAAGTTTTTTAGAGTGCACCTACTCGTGGGTTCGAATCCAAACCTCAGTGTGCTGACTTCTGAAAGTTTAATCCCAAAGTTTTAGAGTCTCTTGGACTTTTCCATCCCTCACATTCTTTGCCAGTGTCTAGAATCAAGTCTTCTTCAGGCTCAGTATAGAAATTTTGACTTTGCAATCACTATGTTGTTTACTTGAATTTGCCTTTTATTTTTTCTCACTTTTTTATTAAAGTATCATTGATATACAATATTTTTATGAAGGTTTCACATGAACTGCATTGTGGTTTCAACATTCACCCATATGAAGCCCCCCAACAACCCCATTGTAGTCACTGTCCATCAGAGTAGTAAGATGCTAGAGTCACTACTTGTCTTCTCCATGCTATTCTGCCTTCCTGTGACCTGTCTGTATTGTGATTGCTAATTATAGTGCCCCTAAATGAATTTGCCTTTTATTGACTTAAAACTTTAGAGTGTTATAATTCCGCACTTTACAATAGAACTATTTCAAGTTTTAGTCTAGAGATGATTTAGGGAGAAACCTTGGGATGTGGTACAATCTCTTCTGGCTAAATACAAGCTTATGAAATTTAGAAAAATGGCTTGTCCTGTTGGGAAACAAGACACAATGTGCTATTTATGTTAAAAAATAGAAAGTCACTTTTAAAATATCATGTGCAAAAATTTAATAAGAATCTGATTACTCAGGGACCCAGCCAGCACTGGTTGAATGTGAATTCTGCTGTTACGTATGCCATGCTTGCTCTCTTAAAACTACCTTTGATTTTAATTCAAACGTTTTCAGGTATTTGAAAACCAAGGTGGAATATCCTCTTGAAACTTTGAGTTTAAAGCTAGGGAAAGGGACATAGAACTGTTTGAGTCTGAATTTTGGTGATATAGAGATGTATGCTGGAGTTTAGACTATCCTACAAGAGCCAGCTTAGCTGATTTACACTACAATGAAGCTGAAATGCCACAGAACTTAGAGACACACAATGAGAGGTCATACTAATCAGTGTTGCAATGTCAGTACACAAAAAGGCAAGTAATGGCACAAAAAAAGAAATGCTGTTTTATATTGAGTGGTGATTGGGGAAAGGACAGCTTATTTAGCATTCCTGATGATGTTAGAAGACATTCTGATGGTTACAAGTATAATTCTAGAAGTAGTGACTACTGATTCTTTAATTTTGCCCTAAAGCCTTTGTTTTTCTTGTCCTTCATCTAGGTGTACCACTTTTCCTTTGTTAGTAACACCTGCTGTGCAAATCACTTTGGGCCCCTAAAATTGGAGGCACAGAAGTCTAGCAGCATAGCAAGCTGTAGAAGAAACCAAGAGATGTTTTACTTAGTAAAATAATGAGTGAGAAAAGAAAAGGAGATATTAAGAGAGATGTTTAAATGTGAGAAATACTCCTGAATGTGAAATTGGCTTAGATATGAGTGTTGAAAGACAAATGAAACTGATCCCCCAAAAATACATCAAGGTTACTGTACCAGAGACAACATGGTGTGGGAGGATGTGGTTGGGGAGACCATGTCCATTGCTAGTTGGGCAGTGACTGGCTTTTCCAGGAAAAGGTGGGGTTGGGGAGGGGGTCACTGGACATTATTAGATCAGGCTTATGAGATGTTTGCAAGACAATTCACTTTTTAAACATCATAGTGCCTTAGTAAATTTTTAAAAAAAAGACTAGTTTTTAGAGCAGTTTGAGGAACACAGCAAAACTGAGGAGAAGGCACAGAGATTTCCCATATGCCCTCTACCCTCTCCATGCATGAACAGCCTCCCCAGTTATCAACATTCCCCATCGGAGTGGTACAGTTGTTCCAACTGATGAACCTAAATTGACACATTATCACTCAGAGTCCATAGTTTACATTGGGGTTTGCTCTTGGTGTTCTGTGGGTTCTTGGTGGTCTTGTTCATTCTGTGGGTTTTGGCAAGTTTATAGTGATATGTGTTTTAGTTCTTCAGAAAGAGAACCTTGATAATTACTACTCTACAATTTAAGAGACTTCTTATCACATGTAAGAAAGTATCCCCTCCCCTTTTGTTAAAGCATAAGATCTCTTTTTAAAAAAGATTCTTGAGCTAATGTTGGCCTACTTCTTCACTGTGAATGGCATGGCCAGAAGGTTTCATTTTGCTCAGTGGCAGATTAGAAAGCACTGACCAGGGCATAGATGACCAGATGCCACCACTATAATGTAAACTTTGTGTACAAAAGGGCATCATCTGTTCAGAAAACATCTTTATTACCTGTAGTGGTACCTAATGATCTTACTCCTGGAATCTCAAATGTCCACTTGTAGAATCATTCGTGAGTAATTACTAAGTTAGTGGTGCCCTAGGAAGGAGCAAAACCCTGAAGAAATGGGAAAGGGATCAGTTGAGTTTTTTGAGGCCAAATGAGAAAGGTTGGGTTAAGTCTGAGTTATGGGACTTTGTCTAGGCAGAGCAGATGACGGGTAACGTCACAGTGTGGATAGCCCCCAGTATGGGGGCTGAGTATAAGGTGTCTAAAGTTGAGAAGAGTGCTCAGAAAGGGGACATGGGCAGATGCATACTTTTTGCATATGCAAGTTTGCATATTTTAAACTTAGTCCTTAGTTTGTGCTGTTACTGGATCACAAATATTTTCAGAATTCAATATTTTAAAAAGCATCACTGATGCCTGTTGGCATTATTCTTAATCTCAACCAAGGACAAACTTCTAGGAAGTACGCTTACCAAGTGTAAGCATCTATTTGAAATGCTAGGTTGAAGCTGAAGCTGCATTGTTTTTGTGACTCCCCAAGGCATGATCTGCTTTCTGCACTGTGATTGGTTTATGATGTGTTCCTTTTAAGGAAAAGCTACTGCTGGGGGGTTGGGGAAGGGAGTTGGTAATGGGTAGGATTAGACTGTATTAAGATCAAATTTGGGTACATTAAATAACAATCAGCTTGGGGATCTCCACGACAGGAATACTGAATGCCCATAAGTCTCTCTCTGCTATGTCACCTTGGGAACTTCATCATTTAGTAATGGACGGCACCTTGAAGTATGACAAGCACTATGGGATCTTTTATAGACTCCCTACTCTAGTAGTCTGTAATTTACTCCCATCTGTGGCATAGGAAAGGTTTCAGGAGAGGTCACCAAAGGCCCTGAGATCTTATCTCTGCAACTGACAGACTTTGGGTAAATCATTTAAGCCCACTGAACCACAGGTCATTCACCTGCAAAATGCGACATTTCTATGATATGATCTCTAAGAACCATCAACTCTCTGAAATTGCAGTTTAAAAAAAAACACCTATTTTTATAGACTTCAGGTGTTAGGACATCTTAATAAGTGTAAGTAGTGTGAATGATCAGCAGGGTCAACCATCTGGTGTGTGTATAGGCGATGTGTTTTACAGCAGCTTTCCAGCCCTAATGAATTTCTAATTAGAAGAACTGCATGGGAAGTAGGGCCCCTTGCTCCCCTCCCCTGGTTTTAGGGCACAAGGATGAGAGGTGAGCAATCACCTCAGCACAGGCCATGTCTTTAGAAAGGAAGAAAGCATTTTCTGATAGAAAATTGTTGGTCAAAGCTGGTCATAAGCAGATTTTTTCATGATGGACAAAAAGACTAGTTTTTCCTTCTATTTCATTTATTTTTCCCTCTAATAAAATTTCAGAGTGAGGATTTTATGTTGATTAGCATTAGAATCTGTTTTAAATACTTTTAAAAACAATATGAGGGTTTCAAATCTTAATTATGGCTTTCAATTCTCTATTTCAATTCTCTAACCATTCCAGGTTAGACAGTTTCATGTTTTGTTTTTTCAAAGGGGTATTTCTACCACAACACTGAGCTCAGCTGATTAGAGCAGTAACCAGAAAATGTGAGAAAGCTGGGCTCACAATAAGGTCTTGAAAGTGTTTCTTTTGGAAGAAAGTTAAAATGATTTTCTTGTGCTTTGTTTACATGAAGATTTATTTGCTGGAAATTTAGCAATGTGAAAGGTAATGTGGAAGAATGTAGAAATGAGTAGAAAAAACAATTTTAAAACAAGAGTTAGTGGTTATTCAGGACTTAGCAGAGCTGGCTACATTCTAAGTATTAATCTACCTAAGCTGTTTGGGAACAGATGTATGTGAAACAGATCCCAGTTTTCTGTTGTGTACATCCAAAGTGAGACATCTGTCAGTGGACTGTGTGGTCAGAGATAATGGAAGCCGAGGTTAAACCCCAAAATGACCTTATTATGTGAATTATTGAAGGACTAATTACTCAGTAAAACATGATGCTTTGATTCATCAATCTACATATTAAGAAAATATTTTAAAAATTGTTAGTATGTTCCTAAGCTGTCAAATTTGAAAGGGTTTTAAAAAGCTGGGTGTGAAAAATCAAGCTCACCAAATAACAGTATGTACTACTTATGAAGTTTTAAAATGCTTTGATAGGTCTTTTAACCCACTAGATAAATATTGCATAAAGCTTGTATAAATAGTAGCTTTTTATTAAAGTAAGCTGGTCAGTATAGGAAAACAAATATAGAGTAGATCTCCAAAGCATGACTGTTGAGTTAACTTTTTGTGATGACGGAATGCTCTGTCCAATACTATTGCCATCAGCCACATGTAGCTCTTGAGCACCTGAAATGTAGCACCTAAATGTGACTTGA